TCTATGCCCTCTCCCTCCATACGGGCATGTTCCACAAGCCTGTTGGCAGTGAACGGGCCACAGGTTTTTGCATGCAAGCCATATTATGTGGACAGTCTATGAATATGTGTAAAAAATATTCCTATTTGTTTTGCAGGCAGCATATATACACTCTGAATGTTTTTAGTTTCTGGCAATTATCAAAAGAGCACCTATCTTTTTTGTGGAAATGGGACATTTCCACAATGGATGATCATTCATAAAAGAAACTGCCACATATTTAAGACATCCAGAAAATCCAGCCATTCTCGGGCATATTAGTGAGTATTATTCATACTAAATGACATCATTTTAATAGACTTCCTTCTAAACGCAATCGTTAATTGAAATTTTTCATGAACTTCGATGAGCTAAACATTAAATGAAGCCAAAAATAAGTGAATCAACAACCAGCAACACCTTGTATTAAAAAGAAACTTTTGTGGCTTCTGAAAATAAAGATAATTTATCTTCGGTCTCAATAAGTGCATTACAGACTTCTCAGACTATTAGGCTGTTACTAAGTAAAAATAATTTTAAATGGTAATTTCATTCACTGGAAAATATGTATTGAACTTGGTAGCATACACTGTAGAGAGGAAAGAAAGTCCCTGCCTTCCAAAAGCTTACATTAGTGGGGACAACAGAATAATAAACCAAGTAGGGGGAAAGGCATTCCCAGTAGAGGCACAGCATGTGCAAAACCAGAGAGACCAGAGATAGGACAGCTCTTTCCACAAATAGTTCCATGTGGCTAGAGGATGAGAGCAGATGTGTGTGGGGGGAGGTGTTGAGGTTAAAGAGAGAAGAAAGGGTCAGATATGTCATGCTAAGGGGGCCTTATTTCCCATACTATGAGATTTGGACTTTATTCAGTAAACAGTGAAGAACTCTCTGACAGTGGTGAAAAGGAGAAGACTGGTAGGGAAGCAAATTAGAGGTAGAGAGACTAAACGTCCAGCTAAGACATGAACAGGGCCAAACCTAAGGCAGTGGGGATGAAGAACAGGGATTAAGACTTTCTCTTTATCGGGCCAGCCAAGTGGCTCAGTTGGTTAAGAGCTCGCTCAAGAGTTTGAGCTCTGAGCAACAGGGTCCCCGGTTTGATTCATGGCCCGAGCTGAGAGCCGCTGCTGAGCTGCCAACAGGTGGCAGGATGGCTCAGCTAAAAAAATTTAAAAATTAAAAAAAATAAAATAAAATGCTCTCTTCAGAGCTTCTTGAATTCCAACTACTAAGGCACTACTTTGAAATCTGCCTGAAAAATGTCCAAGCTAGTTATTTCCTTCTCTGTCATACAGTTTGGCACATCCATTTCCACCATACTCAGTCCCTTTTCAAGCCTTCTTAAACTTTTTCTAAAAATACCTCCTTGTATCATCTAGGAAGCACAGAGCTATATATGTTGTTGTTCTTATCATCACCTCCATTCAAACATGAGGATAAATACTGGTTAGGACAAAGCCTTAAACCCAGTTATATTTTAATCATCCTAGCCTTAGAGAGACTAGAATTAGTCACAACCCATGCACAGATCATGTATGATGGTGAGAATAAGGTCATTTTAGCACAAGAAGAGTGGCAACAGTAGAAAAGATGGAATTTTGTCATCTATTCCTAAATTTAGGCTTCTTTTTCTAAAATTGCATAAAACCACATGTCAAGAGAACTCAGAGCATGATTGTTCTGGAACTTGACAGCAGGGCTACACTTCACCATTCTGGGCAGCTCACATCTGGGATTTATTGTTGGGAAAATGCCTTTGTGCTATCCCTCTTCTTTCTCACAGACATCTGCTTTGGAGAGGAGATTTGGATGGATTAAAGTTTCCAAGCAAGTCAGGGAAGGCCTAGAAACAAAACACTTCAAAGCGTACACTATATTCCTTTCTCCTTAGATTATATAAGATTTAAATGTTTCTTCTCTGGAAGCTGGTACTAGTTTTCTCCCTGGTAGAGAAGCTGCAGCTTTTAAAAAAGATGTAGAAATTCACCAACAAGGCTCTTTTTAAAACTTCCTTACTATCAGTCTAGCTAATTCAAGTGGCAAAGAGATATTGTTGTAGGATGTCAGCCAAGAAGGATTATGGTATGAACATATCACTAAGTGTAATTAAAATAGCACCAAACTGACCTGGGAGACTTGGGCAGAGGGCAGGAAAGGGCATGTAAAGGCAGAGGAGGGAGAGCTTTTCCTGGGCTTTCCCCTCAGATAAGTGGCTGATAGGGGCTTGGAATAGATTGCTCACACCAGAGGAAGCACAAAAGCCAAAAGATATAGAGAAGACTGGGAAGACACATGTCCTCTGACCCCAGTGGTTCTAGGGAACAAGTTTAGGAGGTTCTACTTTGGTCTGCCTGGGAAGAAAGTGAATATGAAATTTTATGGCTTGACTTTTCTGATTTCTAACATTTCTTTTGCCTCTGATCTCACTATTAGGGAAAAAAAGGTGTAAAGTTACAAAAGAGGGCTAAAATGCAATTATTAGAAGAAGCAACCTCAGGTGTAGGTCGTTAGGCAGTCACTAAGCATAAAGATAAATATGTAATATCTTTTCCAGTTTTGTTGAAGAAGGCTGGATATGAAGAAAGCTGGTGGTTCTTTAGAATCTGAATTATAAGAAGTGATCAGAAAAAGCGGATGCTCCTCATTGTCTCTAAACTGTTTAAAACTCATTAGCCTGGTGTGTTCAATGCCTTCCATAAACTTCTTAACCTCTCCAACCTATTTCTCTTTACTACCCTAGACTAGACCAATGATGAGTAAGTTGTGGCCCATCAGCTTCTCAATATAATTTCAACTGCAGCCTTTCATCTTGATGGTTCATAGGAACTTATTTAATCCACTGTGTGGGAAATGTCCCTGTTTTATTCTGGCTTGATATATTTCTTTGGTTGAAACTTTACCATCCCTTTGTGAAAATGTGGGCTCCACAAGGGCGGGGACTTTGTCTGTCTTGCTCACTGTGTAGCTCTAGTGCCTAGCACAGTACCGGGCACATAACAGACACTCAACAAATACTTAGTGAAAGAATGAATGAGTGAATGAATGAATGCCCTAAAGCATTGGAAAATGGTAGGATTGGGATGGCCAGAAAGTGAGTGGAGGGCAGGAGAAGAAGTACTCTAGACAGAACAAGAGCAATGGCTGAGGTACTCTTAAGGATGATGCTTTCTGAGGCCTAAGGGTTAATCGGCTTATAGGAATTCACTTATAAAGTAAAAGGTCAGAGCTAAGGAAGGGGCAGAATTAGAGGAGTACTCAAGGAAGATCAACACAGCAGTAACCTGAAGGATGGTTTAAGTTGGATGAGGCTAGAGCCAGGGTACTGAGCAGGAGAGCCTGGCATAGTCATTGGCCACGAGAATGTACTAGAGGCAACTCATTGGACGTAAACTACAGAAGTGCAATCTAATGTTCTTGACAAATGACAGAAAAGTCAAAGGTGGCTCCAAGGTGCTTGGCCTGGGAAATTGCCACAAAGGTGGTGATGGCAGGAGGAGCAGCAATAACAGAAATAGGGAACACAGGAACCACACAGGTCACCAGATCACCAGAAAAATTCACATAGTAAAAAAGGTTATGGTGAAGCGTCAAGAAAAAACCAAACATTTACATTTTACATAGCCTGCCTACGAAGATACACTAAATAAAGTTCATGCTAGAGTCCCCCCTTTCTGACACCCCCCCCAACACACACACACACACACACACACACACACACGTCTCTTTCTCCTCACCAGGGACAGAGTTAGCCCTGGTCTCTTGGGTAGCTCTGTTTCAACTATTAGCAGTTATTTCAGCCTTGACTATACCCGACACTGAGCAATTAGTCAGAGTGAACTATAAGGACAGGAAAAACAAAAGAAGTATCTTTTTTACCGAGCTTTGACTAAAGCAGACTCCCTAGAACTGCCACATGAGCCTGCTATGATGTACTCTTTCCTGTCTCAGGGCTATAAAAATATTGTTTACTCTGCCTAAACTACTTTCTCCCATTTGTTCTCAGGATTCTTACTTCAGGTTTCAGTTTAAATATCATTTCCTTAGCAACCCACACCTGAAGTCTTCACTGTGTTTCTAATTCACAGCAACTTGTTCTTTTCCTTCATAAAAGTTATCAATTTATAATTATATGTTGATTATATTTATGTATTTATTTACTATCTAACTCTCCTATATAACTCCACAAGGGCTGGGGCTATGTCTGTTTTATTCACTTTACACCTAGCACCTGACAAAAAGCCTCATATTCAATATATATTCGTATCTGTTAAATGAACTAATTAATCCCTGATCTCATCTGGGGATCAAAATTTTTGCCATGTTTTCTAGTTTCTGTATAAGAGAATTGGGTGAATTATAAAAGAAGATTGTTAGTACTCAGTTTCAAGTTTGAGAAGTTTAAATTTTCTCATGTGAAAACATATCAGACTTATTTGAAGAAACATTCCCCTCTACGGTATGATTTTTAGAAGCATTATAAGTTTGATCAATTAAATCATCTTTTTTTAAAGATTTTATTGGGGAATTAGTGGAGGGAACAGCGTTTGGGAATCGGGGAAGGGGAACAGACAAGTTGCTGTCCTTTTGTTCTTCAGTCTAGTTGTGGAGGACGTCATTTCACTGGCCCATGTTGGTATTATCATTGCGTTCTTCCCGGCTGAGGCAGTCGGTCGCCGGTCATTGGACAGCTGCTCACGACGGCTCACGGCAGCTCACACCGGCTGCTGGCTGCTCAAGCTGGCTGCCGGCCACTCATTGTAGTTTATGGCAGCCCACTGCAGCCCCACTGCAGCCTACGCTGTTGCCGGCGACTCACGGCAGCCTAGCTCCAGGTCGAGATGTTGTTCACCATCTTAGCTGTAGAGGGCACATGGTCACTGGCCCATGTGGGATCTGAACCAGGGCCCTGCTGCTCAGAGCTCGCGCTCCCAAGCCAACCCTTAACCAATGAGCCACTTGGCTGGCCCAAATAATCATTTTTAAAACATTAAATAAAATCTTATGCCCGCCCCTCCGGGCTGCGGGCGCGCGGGGCCGCGCCTCTCATGGCAGCCGCCGCAGTGTGTGGTATTTAGCGGGAGCGCGCAGCGGGCTTGAGGACGCGCAAAACGGCGGCGGCGGCGGCCACGGGGGAGCCGCGGCGGCCATTGCGGGGCGCGCTCTCGAGCGGTGGCGGTGGCGGCGGCGGCCCAGGGTGTCCCGTCGGTGTCGACGCGGGGAAGAGGCGGTGGCGGGGGGTGGCGGCGACGGAGCGCGTGTGAGCCGGGACCCGGGTCCGAGGCGCGCTCTCCGCCCACAGAAATGAGCCGTCAGACTGCGACAGCATTACCTACTGGGACGTCCAAGTGCACACCGTCCCAGAGGGTGCCTGCCCTGACTGGCACAACCGCGTCCAACAATGACTTGGCCAGTCTTTTTGAGTGTCCGGTCTGCTTTGACTATGTGTTACCACCCATCCTTCAGTGTCAGAGTGGCCATCTTGTTTGTAGCAACTGTCGCCCAAAGCTCACATGTTGTCCAATCTGACGCGGCCCCCTGGGATCCATTCGCAACTTGGCGATGGAGAAAGTGGCTAATTCAGTACTTTTCCCTTGTAAATATGCTTCTTCGGGATGTGAGATAACTCTGCCACACACAGAAAAAGCAGACCACGAAGAGCTCTGTGAGTTTAGGCCTTACTCCTGCCCGTGCCCTGGTGCTTCCTGTAAGTGGCAAGGCTCTTTGGATGCTGTCATGCCCCATCTCATGCACCAGCACAAGTCCATCACAACCCTCCAGGGAGAGGACATAGTTTTTCTGGCCACAGACATTAATCTTCCCGGTGCTGTTGACTGGGTGATGATGCAGTCCTGCTTTGGCTTCCACTTCATGTTAGTCTTGGAGAAACAGGAAAAATATGACGGTCACCAGCAGTTCTTTGCAATCGTCCAGCTGATAGGAACACGCAAGCAAGCTGAAAATTTTGCTTATCGGCTTGAGCTAAACGGTCATAGGCGGCGATTGACTTGGGAGGCCACTCCTGGATCCATTCACGAGGGGATTGCAACAGCCATTATGAACAGTGACTGTCTAGTGTTTGACACCAGCATTGCACAGCTTTTTGCAGAAAATGGCAATTTAGGCATCAATGTAACTATTTCCATGTGTTGAAATGGCAATCAAACATTTTCTGGCCAGTGTTTAAAACTGCTGCATTCAATTTCACAGAGAATAGGCACCCATCTGCCTGCCAACCTGAAACTTTTGGTAGGTGGAAGCTAGACACATGAAGGTAAATAAAAGGAAAGGCTGTTAAATACAGGAAACAGTTGCATGTAGTAACACTAATATATTTAAAAATAAGTCAACAGTAAACCACTGAAAAAATATATATATATACACCCAAGATGGGCATCTTTTGTATTAAGAAAGGAAGCATTGTAAAATAATTGAGTTTGTGTTTGTTGTAGATTAAGTATACTGTTGATAAATACTGTTTTTTTTGGTTTTGTTTTGCGTGAGTGCGTGTGTGTGTGTGTGCGCGCGTGCGCGCGCGTTTGGGTTTTTTTTTTTCCTTTAACTGACAAGCCATGTTGAGTGGTCTTGGACCACTGCTTTCCCCCTTTGTGAGTCAATACATAGTGCTGAAAAGTAAAGGAATGGAAAAAAGTATTTCATAAAAATGAGGAAAACAAAACAAAAAATACTGGAGTAGCAATACTTATATCAGACAAAGTAGATTTTAAAACAAAGGCTATAACAAGAGACAGAAAAGGACCCAGTAATCCCACTTCTGGGTATTACCCTAAGAAACCCAAAACACTACTTCAAGGGAACATCTGTATGTTCATTGCAGCATTATTTATAATAGCCAAGACGTGGAGGCAGCCTGGGTGTCCATCAATGGAATACTGGGTAAAGAAGATGAGGTACATATGTACAATGGAATATTTCTCAGCCAAAAATAGAATGAAATCCTGCCATCTGCAACAACATGGATAGACCTGGAGTGTATTGTGCTGAGTGGAGTAAGTCAGACAGAGAAAGACAAATGCCATATGGTTTCATTTGCATGTGCAATCTAAAGAACAAAATAAATGAACAAAACAGAAACAAACAACAAAAAAATAAAATAAAATCTTATGTCAAGGGGATATTAATATTCTGTTTGCATTGAGTGAGGTATATATAATTCACAGAAATTCTAGTTATTATATATAATAATAAGCTTAAGTCAAAATTCCCAGGAATCACTTCTTGCTAATAACAGTATTATTAATAATGACATTGACCATACACATACATAAATGATATTAAAAAGAATAGCTCCTCTCCTTGTACTTGTACTTAAGGAAATGAGATATGAATAAGAAGGTTCTTGTACTTAAAGAAACGAGACATGAATAAGAAATCTGAAATACGAGACATTTGACAAAAGTCTTTGTTTGATCTTTTTCTAGTTTCTTTTCTGCTTTTGCCTTTTGTTTTCATATTCCCTTTTGTGGATTTAACCCTTTTTCCCCCTCTGCTTTTGTCTATTTGCTCCCTTCCTTTTGTTTTAGTAATATTAAACATGCCCCTAAATTTTAACATTTACTGAAATCGAACTACATTTTTTGTTTGTTTGTTTCCTGGTAATCAGAGCCAAAGAGCCCAGAGAAGAGTCATATTTTTCTCAGATGTTGATACAACTGATACCCCACCAACTCCTGTGACTGGGGATCCCCTTCTAGAAGAAAGAGGTACCCTAAGGCTCACATCTAGGGCTCATACCAGGTAGCTTAATCACGCGTAGCCACCATTATGCTATGTAAAGAATATCTGCTTCCCATTCCCACCAATAGACACAAAAACATCCTTTGGGGGTACCAAGTAGAATAAGTAACAAGTGTACAGCTCTTTACAAAATACCTTTCATACATGATCTCATTTAATTCTTTCAGCAAACCTGTGAGGTAGATGATGATGATGATGATTATCCCCATTTTACATATAAGGAAACTGAAGTTCAGAGAGATAAAATGACTTTCCCAATGTTCCTCACTTAGTAATTGCCAGAATTAAAGCTCTAAGTGGGAACCAACTCCACAATTTGTGGCCTTTCTACCACATCAAAAATAAACCTCCATAACAAGAGTAGGAATAGGGATTAAAAATAGTGACAAGTAAAGGAACATGAGCCAAACTTTGGGACCCTTATAAAACCAGGATGTAGTTGAAGAATCCTTCCTAGAACTTACTGCCTCATTCCACTTCATACTGTTCTCCTTCGAAGCAAATGTGCATAAACATCTTATGTAACAGCATTTGTCCTAGTGGGAAGAGTCATCAACTGCTTCAATGGCCACTATATCCAGAGGTGATTTATATTTAATCAGGCAGCAGTCTAAGAGTAGGCTCTCTAATCCAGGCTTTATCATCTCTTGCCTGGACAATTCCAAAAGCCTCCTAAACAAGCCTTCATGCCTCTGGTCTTGTCCTCCTTTAAGTTATCCTCCACGCTATTACCAGTAATGTTTCTGAAGTACAGATCTGTTCATGCCCTTGCTACTTAAAATCCTTCGATGGCTTCTGATATGGACTGAGTTGTTATCTCATAGAATTTATTATGTTTAAGTCCTAACCTCTAGTACCTCTGAATGTGATTGTATTTTGGAGATAGGGACTTTAAAGAGGTAATCAAGTTAAAATGAGGCCCTAATCCAATCTGACTGGTATCTTTATAAGCAGAGGAAATTTTGACACAGACACATACAGAGGGAAGACAGTGTGAAGACACAGGGGGAAGACAGCCATCTACAAGTCAAGGAGAGAGGCTCAGAAGAAACCAAATCTGTTAATACCTTGATCTTGAATGTCTAGCCTCCAAAATTCTGAGAAAATAAATTTATGTTGTTTAAGTCCCCCAATCTGTGGTACTTTGTTATGGCAGCTCTCAAAAACTAACGCAGTTAAGTCCCCGACTTACGAACATTTGAGTTGCGAACTTTCACAGATACGGACCTCGCATAACGAACATTCGTAGATGCGAACAAATTGCGGAAGTAGCTCACGTGTCTGCCGGACATTGTCACAGTTGTGCTGCTGTGTGCTTACTGTACAGTGTGATAGTGTACAGTACTACAGTGCTCAATCAGAGCCCAGGATGTCCGGAAGAAAGAGGAAAAGCAGTGGTGATGTGGAGGTGACTGTTAGAAGTGTCAAAGGTATGTCAGACTCACTTTATCGGACTTATGAACGAATCCGACTTACAAACGGTCTCCCAGAACGGAACTCATTTGTAAGTCGGGGACTTACTGTACAACTTCCCAATGCCAACAACATAAAATGTAAACTTCTTAGTGTGGCATTCTTGGTCCTTCATGATCCATTCTTGCTTCTCCAGCACTATTTCTGGCTACTCCCGGTCTTTGACCATATACTCTAGAACACTAAATGTTTCTTGTCTCTATACCTCTGCCTGTAGTGCTCTTATCTCTTTCTCACTTTATCCTTTTTTTTTTTTTTTTTAGCTGAGCCATCCTGCTACCTATTGGCAGCATAGTGGCAGTTTAGCTCGGGCCAGGCATCAAACCGCTGTTGCTCAGAGCTCAAACTCTTGAGCGAGCTCTTAACCAACTGAGCCTCTTGGCCGGCCCTTCACTTTATCCTTTAAGGCTTAGCTCCTTACTCCCCTCTCCTCCAGGCTGAAGGAGTTATCCCTCCTCTACTGATGTGTGAGGTCCTGGAAAGGAGAGACTGTCCTATTCATCTTTATATTCCCAGATTCCATCACACCCATCCATTCACTGACAGATATCAATACATATCTGCTGGACTGAACTGAGGATGGGTAGAGAGGAAAGAGTGGTAGGGAAACAGTTCGCTGTCTTAGTGATCTCTTTGCTCTACAGTGAGGAGTCAACTTACCCCTCTTTGTCAAGGCCTCAGGCTGGCAGCTTCCTTGTCTAATTTCTTGTTTAGTTAAGAAAAGGCTGGCACTATGGAGCTCAGGGCATTGATAGCATGATTCATGGGTTTCAGCTGTCTCTACTACATCCTTCTGCTCTGGCCTCCAGTGTCTTCTTTATTCAGTTCTTTGGATTCCCAATTCTGTCAGGCATTTAAGTAATTCCTGGAGAAGGTAGTGATTCTCTTTCTCTCATCCTCCTTCCCCATTTCCCCCTCTGTATTGTTCTTATTCTCTCCAACCATAGAAGGGCTTCCTCTACGCCACCAGGGAAGAAAGGTGTTGCAGTTTCAAGCTTACATAGTCCCACTTTAGCAACCCACATGGAAAAAAAAGATTTTCTTTCTTCTGGAAAAGACTCTAAGCTTTCTTTGGTCACATGTCTGAGCCTTAGACCAATTACTGTTGCAAAAAAAATGAGGTACTATGATTGTCCAGGCCTGAGACAAATTCTCCACACTGCCCTCTTTCAGCTCTCAGCAGCTCACAGAGATGCTCTGGCTAGTAGTAGTGGGGTGGTCTTTCCAGACAAATATATTAGCTACAACACATGTTAAAGTGATTGCTGACAAAGACTTGTACACAAATGTTTACTGCAGCTTTATAATAGCCAGAAACTGGAAATGACTCAAATGTCGACCAATAGATGACTAGATAAACAAAGTGTGGTACAGAAATCTAACGAAACCTCAGCAATAAAAAAGAATGAACTACTGTTATACATGGATGAACCTCAAAACCGTCATGTTGAACAAAAGAAGCCAGACACAAGAGTATATACCACATGAAAAGCTTTTGTACAGTGAAGGAAACCATCAACAAAATGAAAAGGCAACCCATTAAATGGGAGAAGATATTTGCAAATGACACATCCAATAAGGGATTAACATCCAAAATATATACAGAACTTACACAATTCAAAATTTTAAAAATCCAACTTAAAAATGGGCAGAGAACCTGGATAGACATTTTTCCACAGAAGACAAACAGATGGCCAGCAGACACATGAAAAGATGCTCAACATCAATAATCATCAAGGAAATGCTAATCAAAATCACAGTGAGACATCACCTCACATCTGTCGGATTGGCTAGTATCAAAAAAACAACAAATAAGAAGTGCTGGCAAGCATGTGGAGAAAAGGGAACCCTCACGCACTGTTGGTGGGCTTGCAAATTGATGTAGCCACTATGGAAAACAGTATGGAGGTTCCTCCAAAAATTA